GAGCTCAGCTGGGTTGTAGCATCAGAGGAGCAGGAAGAAATACGGTTTCTAGATTCCATCCCATTGCAGGGAGTCACCTGGCCAACATGCTTCTCCTTTCATGGGAAATGCAATAGTTAGAGACAAGATGCAACATAGCCTCCAGATTCCAGGAAACCAAAGTTGCCCCCCAACATAGTTTGAGATAGGTTGAGGCATTGCTATTAACAGCCTATCGAAACCAACTTGGGAAGTTATCCCCTTCACTTATCATATATAAATATATGCAGGCAGTCCTTGCTTTGCACTGTTCCAATATGCGTATTTCAGTAACCATGATTTATTTAAATAACCATATGTTAGACACTGTCCCTTGAAACCTACTTAACATTTCCATTACCACAGTATACTAACTGTGAATAACACATAAAGTATGAACTTCACTGCTAGCTTTTTCAATCCACCAATCACTGCTTAAATAACAGATCATATCCTGATCGAAGACTAATCATATCAAAGGTTATCAGTGATCAGTCACAGCATATGTCACTCATTCACACACAGTTGACAGCAAAGCATGTAGTTGTGTTGCCTCCCTGTCTCCCAATGATAAATCCACATGAAATTTTACAAACATAGGTAATCGAAAGAAGGAATTGACAAACATGAAAGTATAGCAAAGAAGTGAAAAGTAGTAACACTGGAAATGAAATTTGACTCAAACATTCAAGAAGTTATAGAAACAATAGTTGATAGTGGAAATCTTGACACTGATGCTGTTAGAGGGACTTAGGTGTACAGTCAGAGTTACTTAGAGGAGGCAAACATAGAGCCATAAATGCGGACTGTGGCTGTGACAAAGAGGATGAAGGAGTCACAGAGGAAGTACCTGATGCTGGCAAAACACTTCACATTAAAGATGCTCTCAAAATTATTTCATAACACTGAAAGAGCCCAGGATAAAATGTCTAGAGCTGACCAAAATTTGTCAAGGCATAGAAAAGATGTCTTGCATACATGATAAGTCAAGCACAAGAAAAATAAGATGAGCACTCTGAAAATTACTTACAATAAATTTTTTTACAAAGAAATAAAATGTTGAACTCTCAATGTCTGTAATATTTTAATTACAATATACTCAATAAACATTAACTTTGCAATTCTTTTTCCTTTCTCTCTACAGTACAGTCAGGACCAACAGTTAAAGAGTGTTTAATGTTTGATAGAAATTTTTAAAGGTCATAAAATAATTTTAAATTTTCCATTCATTATGAGTATTATTTTGCACGGTTTCAGTCTGTATGGTTGTTTTCACAGTCCTGAACTACTGTGCAAGGTGAGAATCGCCTATACTGAGAAATCAGCACACATCAGCTCTGTTCACTGGACATGATAGCTCTTCTGGGTTTTATGTATTTTGTCTTAGAAACTGGTTTTATTCCTTTCTGCTGTTCTGTAATGCTGTTAAGTCATTTCGAATGCAATCATTTCGTGGAGATAACCTTGCTAGAATGGAGAGCCTGGATATAATGCTCATTCAGTTCTTCCCAAAATTTTCCCTTTTTAGCTGAAAACTGTTTAACAGTCATTTCTTAATAATAGTAAGATTGGAAACTAACTCTCAAAAATGAGGAGATTAAGAAAATAACATTTCTGCAGTGTATTGCTTATATCTGTTTAGAAGGATCATGTAGAAGAACGTTAAAATAAAGTAAAAGGTTTTTAGGAATATCTTACTATGGGAAAAGGGGACAAAACACTGTGCAATGTGATTCCATTTTTGTAAAATACACATGTGTGTGTGTGTACATACACACACATATATGTATGAATACATGCATAGAAATAATCATAATGAGGGTTATAATAAAAATATCAAGGATGGCTATCGGGTGGAAGGAAGATAAGAAATTTTTCTGCTGCTGTGTTTTCTGATTTGTCTACAGTGGGCATGTAATACTTGTGTAGAAAGTCTATTGCAAAAAATTTTTATTCTTTTTACCTTTATTTTTATTTAATATTCTAATATTAAAAATGAGCAGTGAAGTAGACATCAGGTTGTGTTTTTTAACTTTTTCAACCTTTCCCACTTCCTTTCCTTCCTGTCGTAGGCTCAAAATATTTCCTAATGAGTCAAGCAGTCTTGGTTCTGACGCTCTAAAAAATATATATTCAAAAAGACCACCTTTTTTAGGATCAGAGCTAAGGCACATAGGAGTTTAGAGGCACTGCAGGAGTCATTGAACTCAAAAGCTCAGATTTCTTTGCCTGTAACTTGTGTTCCTGGTTCCTGGCAATGCTGGATACAGGCTCTGTTGATGGACCGACGAAACCATCTGTGCTGCGTACATGGCCATGGCCTGCATCTGATTAGTTGAAAATAGTTGACAAAATCCACGTGCATAAATAAATCAGGAAAATGGTAACAAAGCTACAGATGTTTACTATCTTCCTAGACAGTCATGTAAACATAATCTATAAGGAAAACAATGCCTGCTGGACTGTCTGTTGCATTCACACACTTAAATGATTTTTTTAGAAAACTACTTACTAAACATTAATTACATGCCAAGTCTTATGCTTAGTGCTTAATTTCATTTTCTTATTTAATCCTCACAAAATCCTTGTAAACAGAGTACTACTATTTTCACTTTACAGACTTCATAGGAAACTGCAGCTCAACGATATTAAGTAATTCATCCAGAGTCAAATGCCAAAACCATTATAATAACCCATTATAATAAATAAAAAGCATTTAGTATTCTGTAATAAACAAGAACACATGGCTATATTTCAGGTTTATATGTCTACTTATTTAGAACTGTACTTGGCTAAAAAAAAAACCTTTCATCTGCAAACAACCAACAAAACATGACATGATAACTAGTTGTAGAACAATGACTATGTGTTAAAATGTTTTCTAGAAAACCTCTTATAAATGTATTTATTTCATTAACTTCTTACATAATTGCCAATTGTGTACAAGGAAGAAACATTTTGTTTAAAGCATGACAATTTTCACACTGCTTTTAAAAGCAGCTTTGGATAAAATTTGGCAAAAATAATAAGAAACAATAAGGGGAAATTAAAGTAACATTTTGTTTTAGTAAGGAAGAAAAAAATCATTTTGATCAGCCAAAAATAAATTTTAACTAGAAATCGTAAGAGAATAACAAAACTAACAGCATTCATTTTAGACAATTCACTGTATCTCCCACCTCCTCATATAGACAAAATTCTATCAAGGTTAATGATTCTTACTAAAGACATTACTCCTAAATTTCTATAACTGTCACTTCTGCTCTGATATTTGTTTCTTGCTGCAGAAGCTCAAAACCCTTTTTTTCCACCTTGGCCTTCCATCTCTGACCTTTCGAGTCTTCCTGAAATCAAATTGCCAAATCCTGTATTCTCCTTGCAGAGCTTCTCCTAATTCTCCTAATGTAATTTAGACTGACAGGGCTGAGCTACAATTTTCAATAAATATCTGCAGATGAAAAGGGCGGCCCGAGGCACTCCACACTAGTTCCTAAGTGGACAGAGCCAGACTAGTGAGAGTCTGTCCCCATCCCTGGTGTTGGCACCCCAGTTGTTACCCATTTGCAACTTTAACTGTTGCTAGTGTCCAGTGCTGGGTGCTCAGGCTTCTTGACTATATGGAGGCAGATTGTTTTTATTATTAACAACAGCTAGGATTTATTTATAGAGTGCTTACTGTGTGCCAGGCACTTTGCAAGGGACTTTATTGGACTTAACTAATTAAATGATATATCTATGTACTTTCTGCATTTGGGGCAATTCAGTGTCTAAATAGTGACTAAGAACAAAAGCAGTACTTTGTTCTCATCTCATCCTCATTCTTTAACCAATAAACTTTTATTGAACACCTACTATGCATTAGGAATTAGTCTAGATCTCACCTTTGTGGCATAACAATTCTTGGGAGCAGACACATACAAAGAAATACTGTAGTGTAATATATATTAAGAAATATGTATGATTCAAATGCTATAAAATTCACTTTTTAAGATGTACAGCTCAGTAATTTTTAAGTGTATTCACAATGTGCAACCATCTAATTCTAGAACATTTTCATCACCCCCAAAAGAAACCCTATACCCATTAGCAGTCATTCCCCATTCCCATTCCCTCCCCCTACCAAGCCCCTAGAAACCACTAATGTAGTTTGTGTTCCTATGGATTTACTTGTTCTGGATATTTCAAATAAATGGAATCATCATGAACATAACAGTAGAAAGAAATATGGACAAAGTAATTACATTTAAGAAATGGGGGCTATTTCAATCTGCCTAAGTAAATTTGTTAAAAGAATCTTCTACCTTCTCTAGCCCACTTCGTTATTAGAGTTCTATAAGAAGGTGGTGTGGAGGACAATTTCTATAATCTTGAGTTTCATTGGAAAAGAGCCATCCAGAAAGAGTGGAATCACATATAGACATTAATTACTCTCACATTCAGTTCAGTATTTAACACCCTGCCAGGCAAGGCTTAAGTATGTCTGCTTATGTCAGTTTTTCAACAAGTAAATCAAGAACACATCAATAATATTGTATGATAATTAGCTCTAGTCATTTTAGATTTATTAATAAATCTTGTATTTATTGATAAATGAAATAAAGGAATGAAAACTGTTTCTGAACTATTGTTATTCCACACAACTCAAAATAAAAAATTTCAATCCCTTTCAAACTTCCAGTTTATTAAAAGTATATTGAGATTTAACAGTAAACCGCTATCTTTTACAATTAGTTATCTAAATCAGTATTTTTTCTTACTGAATAATCAAAAAATATTCAACTATAAGTTACATGTTGAGATTGATATGATTGCAAATATTATCTAGAGACCCCAATATCAAGAAACTATGTTCATTAAAACAGACTCATGTAACTCACAAATTAAATTAATAATGAGCAAATACTATAAATTTGAAACTATAAAATAAATTTATATTTATAAAATTGTCCCCTTTATCTGATCAACCTATGTTATTTTTGCAGAGTCAGTGCCTGGTGAGAAATGGATATAATGTGATTCTGGAGAAATCTTAAAACTAGACAGGTAAGGGAATATATTTTCTTCTTCTAAGTCTTCATTTATTCAACCTCACATGTTAGTAGGAGAATGAGTTTTTCATTTTAATATATTTGTATCTCCATCCTCATCATGATTTGAGTATCCATTCTTGATGAAGCCATTGATGCTAAAATCAATGAGTGAAAGTTATTGGGAAACAGGATATTCACATTATTTACATGATAACAAAGAATCACCTCATAGGTTACTTACTAATTTACAAAGGAGAAACAATGCCTTTATTAAAGAGACATCTTTCATAAACTACCTTCACCAAGTGATTAAGTTCAGTTTAATATGCCTCCAAAGGTGATAAAGTGGAAGTATAGAACACCACCTACGTAGTATTCTTTACAAAGAAATTTCAAGAATCTAATCATAAGGAAGCGGTCAGTAAAATCCAATCTGTAAGACATTCAAAGACAACTGAAGACTCTTCAAAATGTTCCTGTCATGAAAGACAAAACAGAGGTTCAAGATTAAGGAAAATATATCACAACTAAACGTAAAAAATGAACTTTGATTGTATTTTAAAAGAAAAGGCTCTGAAAGACATTTGAAAGGAATTGAAAAATTTTAATATACACTCTATATTAGATATTATTAGATAGGTGCAGATCACACCACTTTTTAAATTCTTGCGAGTAAAAATGGCATTGTAGTAATAAGGAAAATGTCCTTATTCTTAGGTGATAAATGCTAATGCACTATATAGAGGGGGAGTGACATGATGTTACAGCTTACTTTCAAATGCCTCAAGGCAAAAAAGGGAACTGGAGAGGATATGTATGTTCACGTAGCTAGACAGATAATCCATAAGAGCACACAAATGTTACAAAATATTAATAACTTGTGAATTTAGGTGAAGAGCACGTGGATGTTCATTATGGTATTCTTTCAACATTTCCAAAGGCTTAGAATTTTTCAGAACAAAAGGGAAAACAAAAGACAGAGACTGGTGTCACTGAACAAAATAGTCTGAATATTCTGACCTCAGCATCACTTACCACATCAAGGGGATGTTTGCCCACACTGTTCACCAAATCAGGCTGATTAACGAATTAATAGTGTTAGCGAGTCAAGAAAGCCCAGGTTAGACTACAGAATGGCTGCACACTACCTAGTTAGCCTCATCAAACTTCAGTTGAGAACTTCATTGCCTTACCTCACTAAAAAAGAAAATGCCTGAACAACAATGTTAACCTCTCCCTCCAAACACAAGAAAGAGCTTTACAGTACATGGTATTTAGCACCAAAGGAATTATGAACTACTTGCTAAGATTAGTTACATTTACTTACTCACTGTAAGGAAAAATATTTGCCTTTTTAACAAGATTCTTTGAATTCACAGGACAGCATAACTGATCCAGCAAATTTCGTTGTGGGAAGTAGAGCAGGAAAGGAAATAGACATTTTGGAATCCTAAATCATGGCCTTCAGGAAGTGTAGACCCTTTGGCTTTCTATCCTCAAAGTTCTACCTTCAAGGCTGACAAAAAGGTTTTGAATATTGAACAAGTTTTAACTGCCCAGAGTTCAGTGTAAAGTAAGCATTCATGTTTATAGCAGGGCTTTGCTTTTCAATTCTAACCTCCTGTGGTAGTGCCAGCTCTATCTAATCCTAAGTGTCCCTGGCTCATGGGCAACATTTTAGCTGCCTGTCGATATTCAAAGGGTCGTGAACTGGAGTCACAGCGGAAACCCAGTGGGATAGACATTCACCTCAATTGTCATTTGTAAGGCTGAGATAAACAGGGCAGCCACTGAACAACATAAGTGGACCTTTCTTCCTCTCACAAGAGAAACAAATTTTAAATATGAAAGATCGAGGACTGCTGGAGATCAGACACCAAAGAACTGAATTCTTAACAGCAGGTGGTGTCAGTGGGGCTTGTCTTCTGAAAAACATCAGATCCTTTCAGGACCATGTAAAACACTTCTGGTTCCTATGGTGATGCAGATAATACTTTGTCAATCACTGTGCTATCTAGATCTACATTAAGTAGTTTAAAAAGTACCTTGAAATCCTTGAAGGTTAAATTAGCTTTTCCTCTAAATTTCTTGGTGTCAAAAGTAGCTGTGATAATTGGAGTAGGTATACTTCAGTTTCTGAGAAATACTGACCAGAATTTCTTGCCTCTAGGAAGGCTAGAGAAAGAGAAGCCATTAACTGTGAGTCCCTTCCCAACAGCCCCAGGCACTAATCAAAGCACATGTCTCCAGAGTGGAAGAGACTAAGTAATTCATTATTAGTCTTCAGGCTGTGCCCAGGCCCTCACGTAACGAGGCCATTCACTGCAGTATTTCCTGATCTCAAGGATAGCAACTGATTTATCTGGTCCTTTCTTAATTAATTTGTTTCTTAGGAAAAGGAATTTTCTAATAAAATTTTGTAGAAATGTTTCCACGAGTCCACGGCACACATAAATTGTGCCACTGACCGATAACAAAGGCTCTTTTTTGCGGTGTTAGAGTAACCATTAACCACACATTTTGTGATTGGGAGAATGGAAAAGATGGACATTCTGTTCTTTTTCTTTCACTGGTGTTTGCACTTCTTAATTCTAACAGTAAATAGAGTTTTGACAAGTTGTGAAATTTAAAAAATTGAATTTTCAGGTAGATAGAATTTCAGTTTCGTCAAATGCCTAAACTGGTCACACTACAGTCTTAATGTGTATCACACCTGGTACCCATGCTGGCTTGTGGGTTGCATTGAGATTGATACCCATCATCCTCACAAAGAACCCTTCCTCCTTGGTCTCATCCCATTGCTCTTCAATGTGGTACCACTGCTCCAAAGGCTTTGATTGGAGCACAGGTGTTCTCCACATGCTTCAACTTTTACAAACTTATTGTGTGGCTTCTGTGCTACTGTCCAGGAGTTATTTTCAATGAGTTTGTGAATACCCTGTTATTAGGACGTGTAATTATTCATCAGAGTAAGGAACATATTATTATTAAGCATTTCATACACTATATGACCTACACTGAAAGAATCATTTCAGTACACTATAGTGTATATGTATATAAAATATGTAAAAGTTGTCAGAAATATGAAGTATTTCTGCCACTGATAAAATTACAAAAGAAAAAGAGAAACCAGTTTTTGTTTGAATAACATCGTTTATTTAGCATATATAGCATTTGTGGTTTTACTGTATAAAAGATCATAAACACATTTGTTCATTTACATTACATGAAGTTGACACTATGTTTTGCCTATTTTAAGACTATAATTATAGTAATAATAGCTAATATAACCTGAGCACCTAAGGCCTGCCATACCTTTATTAACTCGTATTGTATCAATCTCATCAAGTAGAATCTATTCCTGTTCAATTTTGCAAATGAAGGAATTAAAATCTGGTGAGGTAACAAATCAAGGATAACAGGAAGGCTATTCTGACTTACTGTAATTCCTGGGACCTTGATTGATCATATGCCACAGACACCCTTGTCCCTAAATTTCATATTATTTTCTCACATTTCATGCAAGTTTGCAAGTATATTATAAGTCTTCTTGGGGAACCGTAACAAAATAGCATAGACTGAGTAGTTTAAACAACAGAAAGTCCAAGATCAAAGTTTCATTCTGAGGCCTCTTCTCCTCACCTGCCGGCGGCTGCCATCTTGCTGTCCGCTCATGTAACCTCTTTTCTGTGCACCTGCAAAGAGGGAACTCTCTGCTGTCTCTTCTTATAAAGATGCTAATTTTATTGAGTCCTATCCTATCTGGTCAGGACCCCACCTTTATGATCTCATGTTACTTTATTTCCTTAGAGACCCCATCTCCCAATATAGTGACACTGGAAGTTAGGGCTCTAACATATGAATTGGGTAATCATGGAGCAGTCATGGATGGGGAGATACAGTCAGTCCTTAACAACAGGTGATAGTGTATTTCCAAAAGAAAATTACTCCAAGTTCATTAAAATGTTTACATATAGATAATGTCTCTCAACTACAAAAATTTCTCCTTAAAAAAACCTACAATATTACAAGTACTGCAGACTTCATATGGACAAAAGGATTTAAGAACTGAGATTCTTCATAGAAAAAAATGCATTAATCAAATCATGTTATAATCTAGGCACATGTATACTTATGCATTTAGAGATTAGCAAATTCCAAATGATGGAGATAAGAAATTATCAGTTGTAGCATTTTCCAGAAATGTAGTTTGTACTTCTTTTTTAAGAAAGCCTAATCATTGAATGATTTATATGGAAAAAACAAGGGGCTAGCAGTAAGCATGTGTAGTATATACAGTTCTTGATTCAACAGACAGGAAGATAGATATCTAGAAACAAAGCTCTGAGGCCTCCATAAAAATATGTGCTATTAGAATTTCGATTGTCTGACATGGTTCAGATCCTGCTCAACTCATTAGGATGTTCACCGTTGATATTTTTCACCAGCACAATGAAGCACACCACAGTATTTGAAATCACAGCCTGTGACATTGCTGTTACAAAGCCTTCGGCTCCCGCAGTGGTGAATCAAGATAAATGCTATGAATTTTCTCAGATTTGTTCTTTCACCAGGTTGGTCAGGCAGAGACACCTCTATGCATCTATGCAACTACTTTAGGACCTCTTAGGCATCTGTAATATCTATTAGCAAGTGCCAAATTAGAGTATTTCAAGAGAAACATTTTGTCTGGATGAACTAGTAGCAGCTTCCTGCTCTCATAGAATATCAGTGTGAGGGATGACAAGTTGCCTGACGGTACAAGTCATTTATCAAGTACATAATTAAATAGATAGTGAAATACAGATGATAGATCGATAGACCTTTCTACTAGTCTACCAAACTTCCAATTTAATGAAAATTACAAAAGATAACAATTTATTTTGTGCCAAAGGGAAAATGGGCTTAGCTCTGAATTTATTTCTTTTGAGTTCACTTTTTCTTTTTTCCTTTCTCCCTACTTCTTATCTGACTATGGTCCCTGGGAACCAGAGCAGAGTTAAGGAATATCAG